TTTGTGCTAGGAGAGTTTTTTCTAAGAATTATAATTCATCCTCCTCCCAAAACAGTTAACTTTCTCTTGGCCTTGTTATTTTAAATATGTAGAAAATCACCCTTATTCAGGCACCTGAGTAGTCCCACTTAAGACCAAAGCATGCTCTGGCAAACTTGTAAGCTACTGGAAGTTAGCTTAGCGAGCAAACTACTCTAGCTGAACCTTACTTGAATGGAGGGTTGGACTAAACCATCTCCAGAGGTCCCTGACAGCCTCATTCTGTGGGTCTGTAATTTTTTGTAAAATGAACTAAAAAGGTTTTAACCACTTGCATTCAAGTAAAATTGATTACTGATACAGTGATTGCTGAAAGAATAGGGATGTTAAAATTTGTGTCCCAGCCAGTTGTTCACTAGGAAGGGCTGCTGAACTGAAGTGGATATTGGAGATTTTTTTTTAATATTTAATTTCCTTGCAGAAATCTTTAATAGATATTTTTAGGTCCTTGGGCAAGGTTAACATTGGACTTAGGTGGATGAATATGAGCAGTTATACAATGGACACAGAGAGACTAACACTGTTGCCTGGCTCATAATGACATATTATGAATCTATCCTACAGAGAATGCTTTTTGTCAGAGATGTTTTCTGCACAGCTTGTTTTACCACATAAAGGGGAAAGTTTAGATTATGTAAGAAAGGGAGGAGGCAATGAAACCCAGGACTGTCTTACAAAAACCTATGTATGTATTTAAGTGCCATTGTTTTAGGTAAAATATTTACAACAAAATCCACAACAAAAATTGAGATATAAAAAGCAGAACATTTGAAAAAGTCCACATTATTATACAAGACGCTTTGAAAGGAAAAGAAATAAAGCCAAAATAAAGTAGGACTAAATTTTCCCCATAAAAATCCTGCATTCTCTGTTACCTATTTGTTGGTTAAATTGTTTCAAGTATTTATTTCCTAGTGAGTGGAGTAGATTGGTAATAACAGAGACTAAATAGATTTTTTTGCACGGGTAGAGTGCTTCTGAGTGAGTTTATTAATGGATATGTAATGGAAATAAAGAGATATAGTGAAATATCGATATAAGTTTAAGGAAAAAAAATTTGGATGTGGGAGAAGGACTGAAAACAAAGACTTATGATTTTTAATACATACGGCTTCCCAAGCATATCTGTTTAAACATCAGAGATGATAGTCACTGCTAGAAGAATAAATCTCGGCAAGAAAGCAAGTGACCTTAAAAAAGTGATGAAACACAGATGATAGCACATGGAGTAATGGCTTACTAAAATTTGCAGTTGTAAATTGTTGAAAAACACCTTAAGTTTAAAGAAGCCAGAACACAGGAATTGAAAGAATTTATAAAAATAATTTGTCCAGAATCTGATAACTATTAGTGTTACCCATTATTTATACCAATGTCACTGACAGCTGATTCCAGTCTGTCCTATTGTATTTTATAAAGCTTACTGTGTACATAAAAAGTCTGATTAAATATCATTTTTGCTGTTTTCTTATAGCTAAGCTTTTTTGCTTGTTCACGACAAGACAAAAAGCCTAACTGGCTTTCAGATCTGAAAAGTCACCTGATTCTCATTTATAATCTGATGCTAAAGTAATGAATGAGAGTTTGATTACAGATTAGGAAGTATCTAATGGAAATGCTTCAGAAACTCCACAAGCACTCTGATCGTGAAAAAACCTTGAGTCTTGCACAAGGGCTGATTCTTCCTCTTTAGAAACCAAATCAATGTTTCAAATAAATATTTTATTCAAAAGTAAAGACTGAATTACTTTTTCAGACTTGGATCTAAACACTCAATCCACTTCAATATGAACCCCAAACTTCTTGTAAGTTAAAAGATTCAGAAGTTCTTAACAAAATTTGTGTGGACTAAAAAGTTCAACTTTATCAATAACCATAATAAACACCTTCTCAGGTTACCATAAATAGCAGAGAGTCATTTATCAACATAAGGGATGATAGAGTCAGAATAAAAGAGGAAAGTAAGGATATTAACAATTTTAATTATTGTCACATGATTAATTAAATATGGAGGTTAAATGTATTTCTGCCTTCTAAACTCCCATTGTTGTTATAAAACTGTGCTTAGGTATGTTCCAATTTAAAAACAAAAAATATAACATTTTTGAATGTTTAAAGGCCTCACTGAGACTGTGATAAATCGAAGAGTGAAAGAGTTTTACATGTGATTCTTTTACCATGATTATTGCTATCCTTTAATGCTTTTAATATCAGTATGTTTCATAGATTATACCTGATTCTCTGGAAGAATACCTTAATCTCTTGCACCATAATCTTTCATTTCATGGAAACATAGCTGTTACAGAAGATCTTGGTCTTTGAAAGTCGAGTTAATAGAGTAGTTGTGAATGTTCTTTGTTAAGTGTGTATTTTTCTGTATGAATAATTTCATTAAATGAAAACATTTAAGAGATTGTAACTTAGTTATACAAAATAATGATACCTTTGACCAGCAAATAAGAAGATGCTACTTTTCTGCTCTATCTATCAGATTGCCATTCATGCAGAACCCAAATCAAAAAATCTCTTATAATATTCATATGCTTTTCAAGTAGGATCAAATAAATTGACTACTCATAATAATAACTGTTCACCAGGGAGAGAAATGAAGACCTTGAATTAGATCATTTATTCAGGGAAAAAATCAGGCCAAGAGATGGAATGTATGTCGAATAGCTTCCATAGTTACTTTGTCAAGCCATTTCAATCAAATCTTTGAAGCTTTCAGACTACACTCCAATATACACTGAATTCCAGGAACAACATTCCAGGTTCTGAGTGCAGTGATTACTGTGATCAGCCATGAGGAGGAACAAGCTCAGACTTTACTCAGTTGCAGACTGAAATCTTGCCTGAGGTATTTCTGTCAATGCGCATTAGAACATTAGGATTAAAAAAAATCTTGGAAGAGGGAAAATGGATGCTAGTAGATACTAGTTAAGTGGATTTTTCCCTTTCTCAGGGAGAGGAAGATCTCTTTTGTATTGAGACTTTCTCAACAGAGGCAGTTTCACGGAGCAAATGCCTTTGACAGGCTTGCATACTTGGCAGAAGTGAAATAGAATGACCCCTTGGTTCAGACACTCTGTAGAAGAGGAATAAGCTGTGGCAGAAACAAATATATATGTATTGGGCGGATATATCCTTGCCTTCACTTATTTAGTTAGTTCTTTTTTAATTCTACGTGGTTGAGGATTGTGTATAAAATCATCACATGACAGTTCCCAATTGGATTCTTTTTCCAGCAGCCTATGAAGAAAGCCCATTTAAGGTAAGTAGAAACATATTAATTAAGATATGTCAAATTATTCCTTTTTTATCCAGTGTATATTAGATACCTGCCTTCCATTGCTTCTTCCTCAAAGTGCCCAAAATACGGGAACATAGGTACCATCTCCATTCAGTTACACTTCCTTTCCCAAAATAACATTAAGATTGCTCATTTGCTCTTTAAATAAATTATGTTACTATTGTTTAAGAAATAATATATGCACAGTGACAACTGAGTTCTCTTGAAAGAGATTTCTCCCCCATGTATAAAAAATAAGCATAGGGGAACCTCTCTGAAAAACATAAGTGCCTCCCTGAACAGCAAAGTTAAATCGAACACAAACAGCTCATTTAAATATCTGAAATAGTTCAACAATGTCTTTTTACTTTCCATGTTCCTTCGTTTACCCCTCCAGGCTCTGTCAAAAGAGGCAAGTATCAAAAGCTTCAAACACCAAAATGTATATCCAGATTTTAATTTTATGAGATTTTTAACTTTAACTTGTGTCATGTTTTTGTAGTTATCAGGTAATTGCTCGAATGTTTTTACAGATCTTAGACTAAAATCGAGGTTCACACGTGTGATCAGAGACACTATAGTGAGCATTGAGCAGACGAGAGGAACAGGTCATGCAGTGAATTCAGAAAAATTAACTGTAGCTGTAGCATAGAGACAACAGTTTCCAAATATTTTATATTTATTGACATCCTTGCAATATCATTCTATCATATATTGTCAACATACAATATATAATTCTCACCTATTAGTAAAATGGTTCATATAATGCCTTGCCAAAAGCCAATATGGCCTGAAAGTTATCCATTTTTCCTTTTCAGAACAAATCAGATGACATGAGATGAAAATAAAATTCACCAGAACAAAACGGCTTCTGCAGCTAAAGAGGACAAATGCACTGTGCTGCTTTCATTAGGATTGCATAGATGAACAAAAAGCCCTTGCTTTTATCTTTTTGACTAATACAAGTCATTTTAAATGGTACATTCGTGTACGTTACCAGAAAGAATATAAGATTGCTGCATATACTTAAAGACCATGCCGAGACTGGCAAAACTGCTCAAGTGTACTGACATGCTATCTTGTAAAGTGCAATTACAGTTGGCATTTAAGCTGCAGTGCTTAAACTGTGTTTAATGTACAGAGCCGGACAGAATTTATTTAATCAAATGTAGTCTGTTAAATAGATGTGCTGCTGAATACATAAATTACTTGTATAATTAAGTCTTATAATGGAATCATATGTTTCTTCTCTGAATCATTTTAAACCTATTCTTAGAACTGTGATCCTGGCATGTAGAGATCAAGCTACTGATCTGCCTTATTAAAAGTATTTCAAATAAATAAGACCACGTCATATGTTAATGTAATCCTTAATACCTTAAGCTCTGTACTTCTAATGGCGCGATATACATAATGCACAGCATAACTGAAGCACTTTGGAAATCAGTAACAGGAAATAGAGAAAAAAAACCCAAGGAAAAGCAACTTAATTTTATCAATCCTAATCTGTGAATAATTTTAACAGTTCTTTTTTATATTGTGAAAAAGATAAAGTCACTATTGTGAGACTAATCAGTGTGACAAAATATTCCTGTTACTTGCTGCATTTTCATTTAGTACCAAATCAAACAGGAAACACAGTAATATTTAGTTTACCGAAAAGGCTTCTGACCTCTTACTCTCCCTTAGTGCTTTGTCTCCTTTCTTCCAAGTGATAGTTGGCTTTGGAGAGGCTTGTGGTTTGCACTCAATGACAACTTCTTGGCCCTTTGTAATAATTATTGTTTTCCTCATTTGGTTTAATGGGAAAGTGGGAGCTGAAGCTGTGAAAAAAAGAAGTATGTTAAACTCTACAGAGCACAGTCCCAGCTTTCCTTTCCAAAACATTCTAATAGGCAGTTATCCCTTTCCATTTTTCATCTGGAAATTATTATACTACAGATCAGCTAGAATTTTACAAAATGTTTCAAATAAGCAGCTAAGACTAGGTGGCAGGCTTTTAATTTAGTCAAGCTATTAATTAATGAAATGTCACTCAGATCAACATGCTGACATAGAATTACTTGAGAAATCCAAGAGGTTTAGAGATTACATGCTGCAACTGACTTGACTTAACTAGACCTTTTCTCAGGTTGCTGAGTTTCATAAGAAGCTGGTTAGAATTAACCAGTTCAAAATAAAAAGAAATTTAAATAGCATATATTCTCCAAAATGCACTCTCTAAATCCAATTTTTGTAAAAATATTAGCATGAGAAAAATGTTATTGTTTTGCCTTTTTTTTTTTGCTGAAATGATCAGTGTTGAAAACTGCAAATTTGCAAATTTCATAATAGTAGATCTGTAAGCATATCTTGTTCTTACTTCTCAAAAGTCGCATTGATTGCAACAGATCAGCTAAGGAAATAAAAGTATCACACAATGGCCTTTATTACTGTAATTTCACAACAAAGGTCAGCTTTTCCCAAGTAATTTCATCTGTTTGTTATTTTATTAAACTAACTTTTTAGCTAGAGAGAAAAAAGCAAGCAACCCTATCTCAGCTACAAATATAGGAATGTCTTACACCTCCATTGTCCCAGACATGTAGGAATTTCCTACCATTATTTTCTGTAATTTTCATATCAGAGCTATTTATATGGACAATGTAATCTGTTCATTTTCCTTTAATATTGCAGAAAATTAAACGCAACTGCTTCTTTAATACAGTATTACAGTTAAAATTCAACAAGGGTATAATTTCACAAGTCACAAGACAAAATCCTGATGATACCGAAGCAAAATGCGATAGCCCTGTTCATGAGCCTGATTAAGGTCTACTTCCAATGCCCCACAGGCTTCAGGAAGTTGGGCTGCAGGTAAAGAAGCAGCAGGGCTGCACCCAGTTTAGTATGAGTCACTGAGACATTGGGGGATTCTGCCTGCAGCAGGAGAGCTGCGAAGAAAGCTGCAGTGTGGCACAGAAAATGCCACAGTTTGATGCCTCAACCCACCCCTCTCCTCTCCCCACAAATGCCTTCATCATATGAGGTGGATGCTGTGGTGCCAGAACTGCAGCCGTCTCCTTATTAGCCCCCTGCCGCCCAAGGAGCGAAGGGGGATAAGACGGCACGGGTGCAGGAGAAGAGCGTTCTCCAGGCAGCTCATCAGAGCATCCTGGGAAACAGCAGTCATCTCCCTTCAGATGTTTCAGGCTGTTCTGTCAGCCTGCTTCTGGGCTGAATCCCATTCTACCATTTTCTAGGAGCAGCTGCTATGTCATGCTGAAAACGTAAGCAAGACTACACACTGAAAACTAGTACTGGTCTTCCTACCACGGCTGTCCCTTTTGGAGCAAGAATTCCTGCTTACACCACCTCTAGCCTGGCTTTCCCCTCATTTCAGTGCTCAACAGCTACGGAGAGCATGTATGGAACAAGTCACACAAGTGTAACAGGTCCATATGTCCCCATGTATGGAACAAGTCACACAAGTGAGAGCATGTATGGAACAAGTCACACAAGTGAAGCCAAGCAATGAAACACAATACATGGCATGGGGAATTCCACAAGGGACAGAACTGAATTCTACTAATAGTCCTTTCCTGCCAGGACAGAAAGAAAAACTCAGACGCGGGAAAGGAGAGAGGTTGAATAGTCCTGAAAAGAAACGTACCTCCATCTCCAGTGCCACAAAACACTGAAAAGACTGTGCAACCACCTGACATGTTAGGTAAAAAAAAACCACAAGAGAACATGGGAACCAACAAGTACATATTTGCTAACTCAATCTCATCAGACAAAGAAAAATGATGAAAAGAAAGTAATCACTGACTGTGCGTGTAATATGTGGCTAGATAGAAATATTCGAAAGAGTTAACAGCAAAAAGCTAATGTTGACTAGCTAGGAAATGGTCGAAATGCAATAGATCAGGTTATTCTTCAGGAGAATCAAATCTTAGCTGGGATGGGCTGTATTATTTCAGGAACTTCAGTTTTATTATTTATTTGACTGGGAGTTTAGAAGAGTGATTCCCAGGTGAGCTTTGGAAATTTGACCTCTGGTATAGGCTGAGATGTACTTCGATAGAAATCCATGTTCCAGCAGTTCTCTGTGCTGAATTAAACAGGAGACTCTTGCAAGTCTGTCTCTTAGTCCCATGGAGGTCCATTTATCACTGCTGCCCTGCTGTGTTTTACAACCTTTACCTTTATATCAACACTAGAGAGTGTCAGAAGGACAACATTATGCAAGCTTAATGTTTTTCTTCATTAACACTCCGTTCCCCTCCCTGACTTGCAAATAACAGAATTTTCCCAACATTTCCAAGACGCATTAGATCATGCTGGCTTAAATATGCAATTTCAAGCATTCTATCAGTTCTGGTGACTTAATAGGCATATTTTAAATCTGTAGAGCTAAGATCATGCCTAACTACCTTTGAATATTGGCCCTGGTAGAAATAACAATATAATTATAATAGACACTTTAAAATTTACTGTCTTTCAGTTTCTTTTCTTGTGTTTGTTTTTGAGGAAGTAAAAACTATTTTTAGATCCAATTGAATTAATAGGGCCTTGTATTAGAAATAGTTTCAAATTTCAGCTAAGACAGTAATTTATAAAATAAATCATTCAGTTAACAGAAGGACTTGCACTCCCCTAGGCCAACGACCCAGCCACACATAATCAGCAAAAGGGAAAGGAAGTCCATTTTCATTTGCTTTGCTAATTTTGGAGCAGCCAAGATGTTTCTTTATCATACAGACCAAGATCAGGTGTAATTATCAGAGCTAAAAAGGAACATTCTGTTCTTTTCTGATGATACTCACCTAAAATCTTCAGCTCAGCACTGGCATAAATGGTGCCGTACTTATTTTCTGCTAAGCACTGATACATTCCAGCATCTGAGAGATTCACACTGTGGATCATCAGCACACCATTAACCATTTCAATTCTGCTCTGTAATGGAATTCGAAAAAAAATAATTTTATAAAAGCAAACAAGCATTCAAAATGTTTGGGCTACTAGATTAAGCAAAAGGACAAAAATCATCAGTTAGTTAAAATAAAATAGGACCTAACTTCCTTTGTTTTATTTTAGTTATCTAAGAGAATTTTTAAAAGCAGTTCATCTTGGTATCTTTAATGAGGCAACAAATCAGTCAGGAGTATAACATATTTGATGATAGACACATCTATAGCAAATGTTTCATTTCAGTTGTGGTAGCATTTTCATAAAGGTAGATATAAAGAATGCTTGCATGAGTAAGTGTGAAAAGGTCTAATTGCCTTTAACATTAGAGGCAATTTCTCATTTGAAAGGTCTACTAATAGAAAATAATTACTGCAGGTCAAAGGGAAGGAGTATTAATATATTTTTATGAAAATGTGTCTTTAATGGTGCAGTATAATGAATAACTTGAACCGTTACGATACATCTCTAAGTTTCTTTGTTAGAACTGTTGTTTGAGTTAAAGATTAGTGAAGAATGGAGTGTTTGAAAATGCAGATGGAAAAATCAGAAGAATTAATTGAAATTTCAGAGTCTGATATAACTAATGATTGGCAAAATCAGAAAAACAGAAGTACAGAGTTGATTCATTGATGATTCAGTGAAAGAAAGTAAAATAAACAACAGACCAAGCTATAAATGGCCTTTCAAAATGAAATGATAATTTTATCTAGATCTAATTTTAATATATCACCACAGTTCAACATTTGACATTCTAGAAGTCCTATATGCACATTTTAACAGTCTCAGTGATGAAAGTATGTGTTCTGTTATTTGCAGAAAATAAATAGTGCTGAAATCTAATGAGCATAAAACATACATTGAACCTCTTACATCATCTTTAAGGGTTATGAAGTGTATCGTATGTACAATGGAAACATGCTATGGAGTTAGGAAGGAGTTAGATTCAGAAAATACAGGCCTTCCCTGTGTTGTCATTTACTGAATATACAGAAAAGTTTAAACACAAGTAACAGTTTTACAGAGAATATCACAATTTAAAACAGAAGAAAAGAAACAAAAATCCCACAATACAGGGATATCAAAGCAAATGAAGAATAGAGTGATGGAGCTGTAGATGCAGCCCTGCCTGCCCTGTCTTTCTGAACTAGTGGGAATTTTTGATGAATGCAATTTTGCAGTACTACAGAGTGACCAGAAGGGACATGCATAAAAAATCTGTCTGGTTAGCAGCACTTAAGAAAATAAGAAGGAAAATCAAACACTTGTTTCTGAAGTACTTTTAAATACCTTAATTCCTTTTATCTGAATCAAATTAGAAGCATGCAACATACTGGTGCTCCACTGGGCAATGTACCTGTGACCAGAGAGGAACTCCGTTTTTTAGCCAACGATACGTGGGACGTGGTTTTCCAGTGGCCTTACATTCCCATCGAAGTTGATCTCCACTGTCTAACTGCGTATCGTTAAGTTTATCCACCCAATGTGGGTAGGCTGCAAAAAATAATATATATATATATGTATATGTATATGTATCTCTATACAAACCATTACAAACTGATAAGTCTTTAACTGGTATGGGAAGACCTAATCAGTTGAAGAGCTTAAATTATGACCTGTACCAAGCCTAGCTTGCTCTGAGAAAATTGTACATTCAAACAAACTAACAAACAAAAAAACCCCAAAAACCAGAAAGTAATAAGATTAACAGACTTCTATAACATTAAGGGAAATAATGTGATTGGACCAGAAAATGAGCAGTTCTGAGCAAGAGTAGAAAATCTGTCTGATTTAGTTTATTCCAGTGTTTTAAATAGCAGTACTATAGATTACTGCATTTATTATTATTGAATTTAGGAACATTTATCTGGTAGCTTCTATAGAATATTTAGTAACACTGCCAGACTTGCTAGAACTGCATGAAGCAGAGGGGCTATGATAGATAACTCCCTTACTAAAATTTAAGTAACTTAGATCTTGCAGAGTTACTAAATGTTCTGTTATGGCTGGCCGGGTCATAAATTCAAATATAATAATTATTACAGTCCCTCTGTTTCATGAAATTCTATCAATCTACTGGGAAATCATGATTTATTCAGCTAGGAATGACTGGACATTTGGCAAAGTATCTGTTCATGTTCTTATTAAAGTGCATTGTGTTTAGTACATTTAAAATTGTAGCTTTTTGAAGCTCAAAGTAGTTAGGTATGTTTGTGGTTGTTAGTACCTAAATTTCATGTAATAACCTGTTAAAAAGCAGGCAATATCTTTGCAGAGATTCAGATCTTTAACACAGCGGTAAATCACATACCTATGTGGTGAATCTTATCATTTGTAAAACTTCATGATTCAGTGAAGAATTGTTAATTCATGTACAGACACAAAAAAAAGTATGCTAAGAAGTTGGATTTTTTTTTCATATTGTAATAATACCAAGATCTGTAGCAAAGAGTATAATAGATCAAATTAATTAACTTTAATAACCTTAAATACTAAGAAAAAAAATGGGAAAAGTAGTCGAGTGATTCCAGTGCTAAAAGACTATGCAGCTCTTCTGACTGAAGAGAAATCCAGAACTGTCACAACAAAGACTCTGTTTTGAGCTTCCAATAATTTATAACCTACCTAAAATATGGAACTGAGTTTAAAAATAAATCTTTGAATCTGGTCGGCATCTGGCAGGTCACAATCAGAGGGGAGAAGATCCGAGGAGGTATGACAGATAACTAACTGGTTCTGTCTGCACTGATGGTAAAGAATGTGAGTCAAATGTCTTTCATTTCTAAGCAGAGAAGAGTCTGACCAGGTACTTGTTGGTAAGGTATCAGAAAAAGAATCACTAATTTATTTCCAGTGGAAGAAATCAGAGACAAGACAGACCCAATCTCACTTCCAAACCTAAGACTCAAGATAGCTGCTCTTCTCATTGTAGTCAAGGTAAAGCATGAAAAGTGCTCTCTGTGCACGGAAACTCTGGCTTCTTCTGTTAATCAGAAGACCCCTTGCAATACTGGAAGCAACTTGTGGGTGTTCCTGCTCACCCATTGCCCACTAATTGTAGTAACTGTTCTAGAAATATAATTCAATGACATTGCCTAGTTCTTTTTCTACTCTTTTCTGTTGAATGTTTGGTCTGAATGAAGGAAGCATGCTAAGCAGGAATTCTTTCATTTGAAAATGAGCAGAGCTAATATGATTTTGATGCTGTGACAGTTAAATTTGGAACTAAAAAAAATTAAAGTTAGCCGATAGTGTCATAAAATTATGTAATTTCAAGAGGCATTAAACTGTACTAGTAGCTTTTTATTTCACTCTTTTTATTATTTTCATTTTCTGAAAGTTCTGATATATGAGCCAAAATATAAATGGCCTCATTTTTGTTTTTTGAATTTGTTCTCATCTTGAACATGAGCATTTAAAATTAGAGCATGAACCTGATTACACTGAAATAAAACTGTCTTGTCAGACTTGATCCAGAGATGTTCTCATAGATACACAACCGAAGTTCCTCGGACTGTGGCTTTCCTAGTAGCACAGTCTTGGCATAACCACAAATCTTGTCTGTGTGCCTGATTGGTGTTGACGTTCATAATTTCATTGTCTGGAATATTTCGTCATTAAATTTTCTGCTGATACATTAAATGGCTTCTGGGCTCCAGATTTTTAAGCTGTTGAATTTGTCATCCACACAGATATTGACTCAGATATCTCTGGGAGTGAAATAAATTAAAATAAAATAATCTGTGAACAAAACAGCAAAGGTAGATGGAGCAGGAACACAGCTATATATGTAATTGGGAGAAATATTTTGTCTCAGTTTTTGTCTTCCTTTCCTATCCTTACTCACTTCTTACCCTGCAATAGAAAAATAAAGCTTATTTGCAAGAGTTTTTCTCCATAATATCTTTACATTTGTGCTTAAACTCTGTCAAGAGCTAAAAGACCTAAATTCTGAAGAAGGAACTGGCTTTGCAACCTCTTGCTCAGTCTATTATTTTCTTAACAAGAATATTTGATCTTCATCTTATTACACATATTGGAATTAATAAACTCCTTTTATAACTGTCCTTAATTTTAATTGAAAACTTAAATACTAACAAGAAGTATTTCAACAGATTCCACAATAACATATTTTTTTTTTCTCTTTATAAAGCCAACATTCAGCTTGGGAAGCAATGGATGTTTGCCTGATTTTTATCCACTCAGTGAACAGTTCTGGGGATAGAGGTAAGAACAGAAGTATGTATTTTATTATTCAGTAGTCTTTATGGATATTGTGCCATAGCTTTCTATAGTGCTCCAGAGATTTTAAAATCACTATGGCCATTCTCTGATTTATTTTATTTTGCTTTCCTGCACCTCTTTTTATTCAGGGATGTCAAAATGTTTTACAAACAAAAACTGGCAATAAATCTGCAAACTTACAGGCTATTTTTTAGAAAAAAATCCTTTGTGCCAAATGAAATTCAGATGCAGAAAAATCGGGCTACTTTCTCAAAAACACATATGCAACTTTTTGGCTGAAATAAAAATGTAAAGGAGAAAATGTTGCATAGGCAAATACCTTGACTTCGGAAAGTGTGAATGAGAAAAAAGATAGGGCTGAAAAGCTTCATTTTCTGGACACAAGGCCACAATAGAGGAAGGATAGATGCCATGGCCGGTTTGGAAAGACAGCAAATTGCAGGCACAGCCCTGGCCACAGAAATTTCTTCTTTTCAAGACAGTCTTACTACACGCATTTGAGGCTACTGTAAAGTGACACTGTGCATGCTTCCATGCAGGATTTATGGGGAGTGTTTAAAAAGCTGTTTGAGAGGAGGGACTCTATGCTACCCTTTAATTTTGCCATTGAGGAATAGCATCCTTCTTATGATATTCTCAATTATGCCTAATTGATAATAGCTTTCAGTACAGACTGAGTCTAAAACAAGGCCTGCTTTCCTATGCCTGTCTATACAAAGAGGATGAAAAAAAATTTGGAATACCGAATAGTGTAGCACCTGCCAGAGTGGGGTATGTATTCACACGTTTATTTTCCCTGGCAAGAGGAGAAAACCTGTATTTGACGTTTCTTGCCTGTGTAATGTAGTGTAACTGTGGGAGCAGCGTTCTCTTTCCCCTTTGCACCATAAAGCTGGAGCTGAACATCTGGGCTGTGAGGGCTCAGCTTTAGTGACAGCTTTTAGTCCCTGTACAAATAACATGCGATTGCTGGGAGGCAGCTGGGAGTTTCCTGGATTGGGTTAGTCTTTTGTACTGCTGTTCTATCCGGTCCCCTAATTTATTTCCTTGTTCTTTTTACTTTGTTTGTCTCTTTCTTCTTTCACCATTAACTTGCATTCATTGCAGAGATATCTGCTCTCCCATTTTCAATGCCCCTAAATTGCTTTTTTGACTTCTTTTTCATTGATACTTGTGCATCGAAACAAAAGGGCATGAGAGGAAAAGATGTATGAAATGAAATGATAAAGAAAGAAAAAGAGTAGCAAGAAAGGACAATGAAATCTGTACAGTTAATGGGGAAGGAGAGGTATCAGAGGGGAAGAGGAAGCCAAAGGGGGAAAAAAAAAAAGGAGGAAGGAGAAGGGAAGATCTAGTGGATTCCTCCTGGGCATCCATCTCACATCCTCAAAAGCAAGAGATTCAGAGTGTAAGCGGACCTGGATTGCTCAAGCCAGCACTCGCTGTTGGAAAAATGCCCATAGTCAATAATTAAAAATGATTAATGCCCAATTTCTTCACAAAAAAAAAAAAAAGTTGTCCTCTATTCTATTAATAGATTTATGCCTGAATAAAAGTCAATGTAAATTACAAGATGACCAAATCACTTGAGGGAAATCACAACCTTAAAATCGGATTGCAGTCATGTATATGGGGATGTCTTGCATTAGCAAGACAATTTTTCATGCATTTATCACTTCTATAGCTGAATTTCAGCTAAGTCAGTGCTTACAACTACAGTCTGAAACTGCCAGCAACTGAAACACCACTATCTGAGCAACATCTGAAGTGTCAGCTGCATCAGACTGCCATGGTACCCATCTGGGTTACAGCATCAGGTAAGAAATCAGTAGTTTGTGATTAAATGTGATGAGACAGGCAGGCTTGGTGGTCGGAGCTTTCTCCAAACTCCTTGGTGCTAAACCAGCTCAGATGGAACTGAGAAAATGAAGAAGATTCAAACAGAGAGCAAGGGAGAGATATGCAAATAGTGAGACCGGAGTATGACATGGCTGGTCCTACAGCCTGTTCTTAAATTTTCTGAGGAAGCCCTGGTAAGGAATGATGGCCTACATATGAATTTCTGAGTCAAAATAATTATTGTGTCCTGGAGGAATAATATGTCAGTAAAAACACAATGAGCTTTCAGATAAATAATTCATGTCTGGTGTTGTTATGGTATGTTAGAGTTATAGCAGCAAATGCCCCCAGATCCTGCCAAATCCACTGTCAGCAAAGGAATCTTGAAAATGCCATCCAGCTACAATTACACAAACACAATTACAGCTCTGGAACGGGATGTCAGGGTCTGTAGGACAATGAGATACTAATGCTGTCTGCTGTCTACAGGAGCCCTCTGATGTGAGAGCCTCAGAGGGGTTTACTTCATCTTGAGGCCCAGAAAAGTGCTCTAGGTAGAGTATTAATAGCTTGTGCAGCATGTTCTCATACTGCAGGTCACTTTTGATTTTCTCCATTTGAAAGGTCTCTGTTACCTGCACTGACCTTGCTCTCCATTAGAGATTTTTTTTTCTGATTTTGCCTATAAGGTTGACCTAAACAACCAACTTTACAAAACAGAAACATAATAATATACACACATAACAGCTATGTCTCATATATCTGTTAATCAGAGAAAATCTGAAGTGGACTCCCTTTCTGTAATGTTAAATCATTTCTAATATGCATATTAGCACAAAATGCACTATCCATAAAATTAATGATTGAAAAAAATCAGTTTGACAATCATACAATGGTAGAGAATTCAAATTTCTTTTTTTCTAGCTTTGCAAAGTTGATGGAGAAAACATTATTGACAGACTCCTATATTTGGATAACATCTTTATTTCTACTCAGAATTGAAAACTGATGAGCTAGCTCATCTCATCCTAACTAATGAGTAAGTGCTATGCAGTGGCCAGAGTATTACATCGTGTTTGTTGTGATGTCAGTTCTGTTTGTGGCTCTTCCACAGGCCAAATCCTGACCTTTTTTCAGTCTTCCAGAAAATCAAAATCTTAGGAAATTGTGCATGCCTAGATTTTTTTTCCTTTTACAAAAATAGAAGCACATTCAGTTCTTTTACTCTTACAATGAAATTGGTAAGAATTCATCACTGAGGAATGGCAAGATGAAATAAAAGCATAAGAAAAATCCTAAGATATTTATAAAATATCTTATCATTTATGAAATGCATCAGATATGAGTTGCATGTCAGCATTATATATCATACCAAAAGAATCAAAAATACAGATTTTTAAATGATAAGAATATCATTTTTAAAAGAAACCCTGAACATCAAGAAACATAAAATCCTGTTTTTGTCAACTTTTGAGGGAGTCAGTTTTATTCATTTTCATAATTTAATGCATTACTGAGGAATAAAAATATGTAGCTTAATTCCATCCTTATCTTATTTCAGAGGAAAGATATTTTTCATCAAGCCTGAGCATTCTTGGTGGTCTCTACAGCCTTAAGTGTAAAAAAGTGTAAAAAAGGGTAATACTGTCTGTGGTTACACTTACTGTACACTTGTAGCTGTCCTCTGAAGACATTCCTTCCACGGGAGTTTTCAGCTTTACATTCGTACATCCCTGCATCCTCTAGCTGCACATTAGGTATTTCAAGCACAGCTTGGGATTTTCTCAGGCGGGCTTTACTTGGATTGTGACCATTAACTTTCTTCCATGAGATTGTTGGAACAGGGCTGAAATATTTAGTAAAATTGTTGTTAGCAGTCTTCCACTATTGAGAATATTGATTCTGAAATTTGATCGTTTAAATGTTTAATAATCTAAGTAGTAATAAAATATAATCACAATCAAGGTTTAGGTATGCTTGTTATGCTTCTGTGTCCATAGGGAATATTTAATAAATGGTTGTTACACAGAAGGTCTCCTCTTCATCCACAAGAAAGACCATATTTTTATTGAGATTAGGCAATTCACTTGAAAAGCTCTCTCTAGAACTTCTTTAGCACTCTATGTTTTAGTCCAGTTGTTCTGAACACTTTCACTTTATAGGTTAAAGAAAAATAACAGCTTCAAAATCTGGTTGAACATAGTCAATTCCAACACTTCCCATTTTTCCTGCAGTGAAACTACAGCACAGGTGCTCAGAAAACTGTATTTTCATCTAAATGGAGAATCTTGAATAACTTGAGGTGACCTAAGTTTTGGAGACACTTTCTGCTGCAATATTCTCAGAGTGAACAAACTGAGCCCCTGAGAAGTGTGTATTAATGGCATTGCAGTATCCAACTCAGTGTTATGTGCCTGCTTTTTGGGGTGAAGCCTTTCCACACAAGCCTATGTCTTCATGAACACCACAAGTCATTAAATTTCATTGAGTCTATTAGCATTATTATCTCCATACAAAATTTGTGTTTTGGCCAAAGTACAGTTCCTGGAATTGTATCCGCTATTGATTTGAGTGTATCAGAGACAGAAAATCATTGTTTCCCTTGTCAGTTTGCTCTACGGATTACTTAATCTCATGAAAGATGCTTCATTTTATTTTGAATTTTTCTGAATTCATCTTTAAGACATAGTTCTCGTGATAGCTCTCTCTTGTGAAGTGAGTTGTGACTTTCCTTCACAAAAGATATGTGTATTGAAATCAAAAAATTGTTTTTTAGTAAACAAAACAGACTGTTCTCCTTTTTCTTCAACTCATCAGTTATTTATGTCTTTTTCTTTTTTTTTAGACATATATGAACACACTTTTTTTTTTTCTGACATAAAACTGGATGAATTGTGCATTTTTGGTCTTAAATTACTTTCTCACTGACTGCTTTCACATCTTGGTATCCTGTGAGTTTGGCTTTAGGATTCTCCTGTGACCTTATATGGGTCTAATTTTATAAAAGTTGTTCCCTGTTGCAAGTTACTTTAAATCCACTACATCTAGTAGATTGAAAAAAACTTCCTACTCCTATACAACACAAGTATTTCATCCTGTTCAATTCCAAATATTAAGAAAAAATAGGACACTTCTGTCTCTGATACACTATTTAAAATATATTGCTTTTAGCTTCACCATTTATGATAATCCTCTGATATTCTTAGCTACATATTTTAATTTGCTATAATTTGATAGCTATTTGTATATGACAGAAGTAGTACTAGTAGCATTATTAGTTTCTTCTCTTTCCCATTTATAAAATGCCTTTTTATGGCCAATTTCACTCTTTAAATTTGCTCTTAAAGATTACTGTCTTTCTTGAGTGATGTTCTCAAGATTTCATAATTCTGATATTGTTTTGGGTTTAGATTTGACCATCAGCTGCCTATATGCTTTCTCTCTTACTTTATGTCATTATCACCGGCTGCAAATAGAAACCATGGCCAGCCAAGAGTTCAATTAATCTTTATTCATTACAGCACAGGTACATAGTAGAAATAGTTTTGCTGGCTAAAATGCAAAACTATGTGGCTACTCCTGTGTTATGAGTGGGAATGGAGGGTGGCTATGTTTTATTTTCTGTAAGTCTGCCACACTTGTGACCCATTATTGCTTACTTGCCCTGCAACCCTGCCTCCAGTAAAACCAATGTCAAAAAAGTTTTGCTCTGTTGACATAGAAAATAAAAGTTTCAGCTGAATAAACCTGATAAGTGGTTTCTTTTTTCGTTATGTACATTTCAGGGGAACAATGAAGACATTAGAAAGCAGGAAAGTTCATTCATTTAGCTGCTCTAACGTTACTCTGAAATTCATGTATTTAAGAAATTTTCTTTAAATTGTGTTTACCTCTAAAAAATGCCATAATGCACATTATAGTAAGCAAATGTGCATAATATGGCAAACTCAGAAGAATTTTTTTGTAGTCTTGGTTATTAGGAAACATATTTTTAAAAGACTCACTCTTTCTTCATCGGTATAAGGCAATAAGTGGATTTTTTCAAGGAGATAAAATTACTTTAGCCGTGAAGATTTAATGATTTTAAAGGAAAGTGTTCCCAAACTGCAAATCATATTCACAGACAACTTGTAGCTCTGTTTAATGAAGCTTCTTATTTTCCTTGCATAACTCGCAAGTGAGGTATGAATTTTATATCTGAAGTAAAGAGATATCTATACATATTTCTCCTTTGTGACTCATGAGAGAATGAAATGAAAGAATGAAATATACCTCAGTAAGGATGTGAAAGATTAAATTGTGTGACTGCTCTAGAAAACTCGTAAAATCTACCATAAAAAAACTAACTAACATATGCACACATTGTTCATCTTTTAAAATGATCCACAGCCTTTTAAAAAGATAGAGTAACAGCAAAAATACCTCTAATATTGATATGTTTAAGATAATACACATAGTTATTAAATCTTACAATAATAATTATTATAACTGATTTTTATTTGGGGCTGATCAAGCATCTATGGGAATATTAAGATTTTGTTTATGACATTAAAAAGTACTTAATGCTGCTTATACTGCTCAGATTTAACTCATGTGAGTAATTTTATTCAAGTTCCAGTTGAGCTCACTTCTCACTCTTCTACGTATTCTTTGAGTATTTCAGGTAAATCCTAGCCCCAGTGTGACAATCTTCCAACATGATTTCAGAAGGAACAGCAGTAAATTCCTTCTTCATTAAAACTGAAACAAAAATTCTAAGAGATCGTCTGTGTCTGTGATAGCTATGGCTATGTTTACTTTGAATTTGAAAAAAAAATGTGGGCTACTCTTCTGCATTTAAAGTTAAAAGATTGAATTTTAGAAAGAGGACAAATGCTACTGAATCCATTGGGTATTTTTCATTATTTTCACTGGAAGAATAAATGTTTTGAAGATTTTATTGGAAATAATTTTGTACAATTCTTTGTACAAAAGAATTCACTTGGATTATGAAGGATATATTTGCTTCAGGAAAGGGATAAGATGGAAGTTAGGGAACACTTAGATTTTAAAATACATTTTCCATGGATCTGGGCTCCTAATTTTTCAACAATATCTTAAATAAGAACACATTTTCTATTTTTGGGGGGGAAGGGGAGATATTTGAGGGGGAATTTTTTCCTTTGGAATATTTTACCTTGTACTGCAGTTTCAGTTCCTTGAACACTATTTCTTAGCACACATTCCTGGCTCTGCCTTCAAACCCACAAGTGCACATCACAGTACACCTTGAAAAACTGCATGCTTGTGTAGTTTAGAGTAGAAAAAGCCCTTTCTCTTTATGCCCTGCAGCCTACCTACTCTGTTAAATGTCTTTTAATTATTATAGAGTAATTATGTACAATTACAATGTTGAGCTCTATCATGAAATTCTCTCCGTCATACATATACTTTCCAGAAATGTACATCCACCAGTTGCACAATTTTACCTTTAGCATGCCCCATGTAAATATATATATATGTATTCAGATGCAAAGAATTGGGAAAATACCTCATTATAATAACTCACAAATAATAACTCTTCCTTTAATTTGGTTATTGAATGATACTTAATACTCATGACATAGCGACGGGGAATACTGGTGATTTAAGGACAGGATTGGAATAGAAGGTGATGCTGGCAAGCAGGAGCAAGTTTGGATCTGCAAGCCATATCAACAGGAGGTCTATGGCTGCACTCCAGAGTATGATGTGTGTGTGAGTGTTGTATGTGAGTGTAGATGTGCACTCTCTCTAGAAAGGTCTTGTACTTTACCAGCATAGAGGGAAGGAGAATGTCTGTGCTTGACCACATGACCATCTCCAAGTCAGTTTCCACACTTCAGATTTTAAGACGGGAGAGTAACATCTATCTATAACATCTCTAGCAATGGTGTGGACAATGATTCATTATACATAATGACCCATTATCTATAATGAGTCACACTTCAGAGGACTTTCTCCACTGATTGAGTGATCTAAATGTTACCTCAGACTTGATGCCTAATTGTTAGGGGGCTAAAGTTAGATTAAGATAACTCACACTCCTTATGATTTCAATGTAGTCCTCCAAATTCTTAAAATGATTTGTGATTTGAGCAGTCATCTGTTTAAGAGGTAATCAAACAGGAAATAGAATTTCCACAACGGAAAATGAGTTGTTTTCACAAGCACTGAATGAAAAGGAAAAAGCTACTGCGCTACCTCTTTTGCCTCCTTTTGAAAGACAGATAATGGTATTTACTCCTAACCAAGTCGCAACTTCAAAGCTCGATCATGAAAATTTTAACGGAAAAAGTATGTCACTGAATAGTCGAACTCCATTTCCATGGGAGAGAATGGATTTCCATTCTCCATGGAGAATGAATTCTGTGGATTTAGTATTAGCCACATTGCAAAATTCTATATTACATTTCCTCTTTGCAGTACTGTGGATGTTACAGTTTGTGATAGAGGATGTGTAGAGCAGCTATGGCTAATAAAGCATGACAGAAGTATGCTCAGTTCTCTCCTACATTTTGAGAAACTCTTCAGGTAGCAAACAACCAATCAGTAACACATTTTTTTTGAGCTTTTCTCTATAATTTTTTATCTGAGTTCTATCTCACTTCAAAATTGGTGAATATTCTGTGAAAAAATATTAATGACATGGCATCAATTAAAACTTCACAAGCTTGTGATCTGGCCGAAGAGGCTGTTGAAAAGTGAGTCTGAAGCACCTTGAGAATGATATTCTCATTGTGTGAGTAGGAGAGATAATGTATGAGAAATCCATAAATATAGATTTCAGAACAAATGTTTTAAAACAGAATAATCTGCCAGAACAGG